AAATCATTTATTAGCCACTACATTGGTTTTGCTATTTAATTGCGTTAAGTCCAACCTAGGGCTTACAATGATTGTAAAAAAACATACAAGAATAGCTAGAATTGAGCCCGGAACTTGAAACATAATAATTAACTACGAGTCACATTTCCTTCCTGCGCAATTAAATACGATGAATGTGCATTTTTTTGCTTTAAAATTGGACATTGTTGGGATTTTAATTAAAGGTTTTGGTTTTTACTGGTAATGGTAAAAGATTTTATTGTCATCAATCGATCTGACGATTGTGTGGTTAAGAACCGCTTCTACCTCTCTGGGCCATGGATGTACCATGGCTCAGAGGGGTAGAGGCTGAGTTCACGGTTTTGGTAGACTTAAATGTATACATATAAGTAAATTTATACTGTCGTCATCTACTTATGGGTGTCCTTGATAGGGACTTCCTTTAGTATGTTACCAATCTAATCTGTATAAAAACTTATGTATGTAGTCGTTATAATAATGCAATAAAATCCAAGATTTGTTGGGTTGAATTTTACAATACTTTGTGACTGAGTTAAATGTGTTGAGATGAGTAGAACACTTAGTGATGTCGTATAGTCAACCGGTCGTAAAACAGCCTCGCCTTAGCTCGACGGAAAGTCGTTAAATTAGAGGAAGGATCTTCAACTCGCTAAAATTTGTAACGTAAGGTCAAAATCGCGAATGACTAATACATGGCATACATTCATAATTCCTTCGTTATTTACACCCAGGTTTTGATGAAAAATAAATTCCAGTTTGATACCTTCACGCGTCTTTGAGAAAAAGGGTCTTGACAGACGGACGGAGGGACAACAAAGTGATCCTATAAGGGTTCCGTTTTTTTTTTCCTATGAGGTACGGAACCTTAAAAACGTACAAGTATCTTCTAATTTCTAACAAACCGAATCGGAATAACTAAATCTTAAATATGTACATAGTTTTCTGCTATAGACGCTGTTTTCGATTAAGTTTTTTGTATACTGTTTCAAGCATGACAAAAAAAATTACTCGTCTGTTTGTTCCATGTTCAGATCTTTAGTTAATTTAGTTGTATAATATTAAAAGATCTTAAAGTCGACAATGAAAATGATTTAATATCAAGTTTGAGTGCATAAAAGCCTCTTCAATATCAAGCATCAAATCTTATTACTAATATTATAAATGCGAATGTTTGGATTGTTGTTTGTATATATGAAGGTATCACTCACACAGCGGTTCAACGGATCTCGATGAAATTTGGCATAGAACTTAGTCTGAAAGAACATGTTGGGCACTTATTATTTTTTTTTAATTCCGTGCAGGCGTAGTCGCGGACGGCGGCTAGTAGATAGATAATCTTAACTGTGATCTGAGACCGCAATTATTAAACCTCGTGTGTTATTCAAATATTTCCAATTTGTTTTAAGTGCTTGTTCTAGGAACTTTGGATATATGAGGATCATTAAAATATATCAATAAAAAACTACTTCTAACATATATTATGTTGAAATTCTTAATGCGCTGGGCATTTGATAATGTGACGGCGACCATAGATTTTCCGTACAAAAAAATTAATGCACTCCAAAAATCCCGATATAACTTATATTGATGTCGCAAACTATACAAAATGTAGTGTGCGGGTGTTAAAAACAGTGGGTTATTTGAATGTACAGTCAGCTGCATAAATAAGTATACATTTTCATTACATTAGTTACTTGTATAGGCGTTCAGTTTTAAAAATACGCATGCACATTTGTCAATAACATGTATTCGTGATCAAAATCATATAATCGATATGTGCTATATATTTTTTAATCCCAAGTTTTGTAAAAGTATTCATATTTATGCAGCTGACTGTACAAAAAGTATAGCCATCTCTTTTATTATCTTTGAATACCAGATATAGCAAAATCTTTACATGTTCAACACTTGACTTCATGAATTGGCAGGTATTTTTGATTCTACAGTTGTTACGGTGGAAATCCGAAATGTTACCATCCTTATCAAACCCTTTGAAAAGAAAAGAGATAGCAATATTATTCGTAGACAAACTTCTTTTATTCACTATTAGGTTCTCTACAAAATGCACCCGGATATTATAGTATGTTGGTATATTTTTAAACTATGTTACAGTATGAATGAGTGAATCTTGAACCGGTCGCAGTGAACTGGTTCGTGTAAGGAATCATTTACAAGTCTAACATTGTAACATTAGACGTAACAATGACTAAATTGTTCATTGTCTAAGTAAATACCTGTGTAGTCATAAAATGTTACAACAATCGATATTTATACGTATAAATAGATTTCTAGAGTGTATTTAGTATCAAAAAAATCTTTGTCTTTGTGTTGCTGATACAAAAAAAACCAAAAACTTTTCTGTCTGTCTGTCCGTTATTAATACTAATTCTGCGTTGGCAAAGTTACAAAAGGTAGAGCGTCAGTGGCTCAGGGGTTAAGCACTTGAGTTGCGATCTGCAGGTACTGGGTTCGAATCCCGCTATGTAGCAATGTGTTCCGATTTACATATGTACATTTATCCGACGGTCTTATGGTGAAAGAAAACATCGTGATGCAAACTGTACATATCTGAGAAGAAATTCAAAGATAATGAGAAGTCAACCAACCCGCACTGGGCCAGCGTGGTTGACTATGGCCTAGTCACCCGTAACTTAGGGTAGGCTCCGAGCACCTCTGTAGGGACGTATAGTAGCTGATGATGATGAAAGTTAAAAATAGTAATAAATATATGATTTTGTACAATTGTTTTCACAATGGAAATCCACGGTTATTTTGTCATATATATTTGTAATTTATGTATTATATTACAATATAAATGCGTGTTATGATAAATCTAACATAAATAATGAAATAAAAAATCTTAGGTAACATTGACTCTAAGCACGTTATTAAAAAAAGTATGTGTTAATTAATATTAATTTATATGTTTAAATTAAATTGTTTATTTCATTTAAAAATGTGTATTACAAATCATTATTGGGAGAAATTACAATAAAATCAATTTAAAAAAAAAATTGTTACGTAACTTTTGTAAAACGGAGAAACGCATTTAATTTCAAATAGGTTTCCTATTGAATATTATTTGTGAACTATGTAATGTTCACAATAGCAATACATTTTTCAGAACTTTACGAGTTATAATAATAAAAAATAAAAGTAGAAGTTTTATATTTAAAACTTTGGTTACGTAAATGTACGAATTAGAGATATTTTTGAGGCAATGAATTTATGGAGATTAAATGCAAATTTTATTTACACGTTCATTACCAAATTCAAAGATTTTGTTGACGTACTAAGATCTTGTAGACGCAAAAACATGACATTATACTGTTTTTTTTAATTGTGAAGTAACAAAGTTACTGTGTCACGATTTCATAGTATTAAAAGTGCACAAAATTAATCTTACTGGGATTGGCAGAGATAACAAGCTTTAAAGAAAAACAAAAGAGGAAGAGTGCACTTTAACCCTTATGTTCATTTTGTATAGTATACCATACATACAACTCTATAAAAATATACGATCACTATAAAATAATTTTTAACTTAGTTTTATTAAACTTATTTTTGCTTTTGCGTATTTTTTGCTTTTCTTCATATAAGAAATCTTGCCACAGTACGGGTTAATATTGTCGAAATACATACAAACTTATTGTCATCTCTTTCTTTCTCTTGGTAAAGACAGAGACAAGAATATGTGTTTTTTGTGAGTATTTCAGAGCTGGATTTTCTCGGTAATTAATGTGAAACATAAAACAGTTGCACTGCCAAGTTTATGCTGTAATTGGCATTCTTTGGTGGTTATTTTTTTGTACTTGCTCATAATTATGCTTGACGTTAGAAAAAATGGCTGACTTGCTACCACAGAATATATACTTAAAAGGAACTTAATTACCACAGAAAAAACTAGGTTCCAAAGTAAACTGAATTAACTTCTAACTTAAAAAAAATTGTAAGTTCTAAATAAAATTCAAAATAAGCGTCAATAGCCTAATGGTTAAGGGTACGGATTTCCGATCACGAGGTCGGGCGTTCGAATCCCGCCATTGGACTATTATCGTAAACCATATCCTAGCACAAGCCTAGAGCTTTGTTGGAATACTAAAAGAAATATTAGTAAATTTACAAAAAATCTACTAATATTTTTCATTAAAAAAAAAGAAAACAATTATTTTTAATAGCATACATACGATAGCATCACAAATCCTTTTAAAAAATGTGAATAAAAATTTTCGATACTTTTGTCTAAAGCGTAATTTTTTTAGTGCTTTAACTTATCCTTGATAATCCATTAAATGACAAACAATATGTAAAATATTACAAATTGTTTGTCTAAAACTCATACAAATTGTTTTATAAATATAAAAAAACCAATATTGTTCGTTTAAATATTTTTGTTGCTAACAGTTTATGTAAATGTATTTTTTTTATTAATAATTTAATCTTGGTTTTATTACATGACATCATCATTTACTTCCCTGGATTTATCCAATTCACGTTGAAATTAAAATTTAAACATTTATTTATTTAATATTTATTAATAATAAAAAGTACATATATTTAACAGTAATTTTACTGCAAGACTTATAATTTTTTTTTATAAAATGAAATAAATAATGTGCTGAAAACATACTTAACTTGTTCTATCCGCATGCCAAGTAGGTATACCTACTGAGGAAGTAAAAGGCATTAATGTCGGAAACATTGCCAAGAACGTAATCTATCTATAGATATATAATAATTATATTTACCTCTCTCGATTTGCTCACTTTCAGACGATTTAAATATACTTGAACTCTGATTAACGATTTGATTAGCAAGGAAACGTCAGCTTAGCCGGCACTAACGACCGTTTAGATTCGTCCGTTCGTCTCACAGACCTTGATACTCTTGTTTATGTTTGTTTAAAACATTTATAACATTTAATCACTAAATACTGTCCGCTAATTGAATACAAATATTTGATTAAAAAATATTCTCACCAAAATTCCTTATTTAGTGTTATAAAACGCTTCGATGTATCCATTGTAATATGTGCTGTATCACTTCTGCACAGAATATAAACTACGAGAAAATTCGCACACAATTTTTAAAAAGAAAACTCTTCCGTCAACTTTAAAACAATGATATCCGTTCAATAGCAAACTGTTAACTCAACACAGGACACAAAGACTACTTGCATTCGCGTATCGTTTTGTAAACAAGCACACGAAAACTTTTGGCCGTCTCACAAAACAAATCGCTATCGTAATCGTTTGACGTTTAATGTTTTTTTTATTATTTTTTTACGATATATCGCGCGCTGAGCACGTGCTGCCGCGACCGTGCAGCCTTCCGCAATAAACGTTCGAATACTGGCTGCTAAGAAAGAGGAGCCACCAAGTAGGCCGCATATGAATTTACTCAGTGTGACACCAGCTGATCTAGTCCCCAGTGGGCAACCTAACAATAGCACAATGGTGTGGATTAAACGCATTGTTATAAGTCGAAGTAACGAAGGTAGGTTGGAATTTTTTAATTAATTTGTTGCAGTTTGCACACAATCTCAAGTATGAAATCAAAATTATTGGTTACCTATCAAAAATTAATAAACAATTTTTATAATTAAATTACAAGATTAAAGGTTGTTCAAAATACCTTAAGTCGGGCAATAAAATAATGAAAACATTTTTTTAATTACAGAAACAAGGGAAGTAATACCTTCATATACGATAATTATTATTTTTAAAACAATTCAGATTTGTTATTCGAAATATGATTAAAATGATATAATGGTGAGTTCTTTTCCGGATTTTTTTTTTCTACATTATTAACTTAATGCAAAAAAATATCGTTTTAAATGGTATAATATATAATTATAAAAGATGATTGCCTACTTAATATCAGCTATTCGGCTTTTCAATTTCACATTCTTTATTAAAATCATACACGTAATAAAAAAATTGTTAACCATAGACCGTAAATGTCTATGGTAAACAATTTTTATTTATAACTATTGCTTGACCACAATCCCAGCAATTATTCCAAATTATCTTCAGACAAATTGAATTATTAATGTCTACCAAAGCTAATGTACAAGAAAATTAATTCCATCATAAACGTACTTCAATAAACTTGACTAAGTGCATAAGGACGGGCGCGTACTCAACATGAAGTTTGCACAGAGGTCATGAACGTTTGCATTCAGTGCCGCATCCGACAAGACACGACGACGCATCCGACGCATATTTGTTTGCATATAGTTATATTATACGTAGGTGGGCTCATTTAAATGTTAATTACAAGCAACACATAAAAAATCTAAAAAATAAATACTAGAGTTTGTTTACATGGAGTTCGTTCAAATTGCTAACATCTTATGAATATTATAAATGCGAATATTTAATTGAATGTTAATTAAAAGGTATCTCCACAGCGGCTAGACGGTATCTGGACGAACACGTGACTACTTTTTTTAAATCCGCGCGGACGGTGTCGCGTACAACAACTAGTTTTTAAATAATTGTATTCCTTCCGATAAAAACAAATGAAAAAAAAAACAAATGATTCCTTCGACGCTGGCAATGCCATCTAGCGACTAAATTACACACCTAATTTATCCCAGGGTCCCATCAGACTTGATTAAATGAGGTGAGATGATTCAAGTATTAGTAATGGCCGCGAGTTGAGTTGAGTTAAATTGTTCTTCCTCTATTACATTTCCGGTAGGAAGAAGTAATATACACAATATTTAATATCAATGTAATAATCTCTCAAGGTATAATCCTTTAAGGCATAATTTAAAAACCAGTTTTCTGTTTTAACTTTATTAAATACACTAAAGTTTACAAGAGTTACGTTTACAATAGGATGTCAATATTGAATGAAAGTTTACTTCTCGAATGTGTCGAAAAGTATTCTGCGCAGCGTCTCGTCCGAAATTGTTAGCCGCCATTAAGTTTGTATAAACTGTATTGTTAATTTGTTCATATTTACGCGTCTGATATGTGTCGAATCTTTTCACAATATTTTCGTACGTCACACGGATGTGGACAAACAATGCTATTAATTAATGAATAACGCATCGATGTTTTTTACTTATACAGGATGTTGTGAACGTCTGTTGTATTTTTTATACGAATACAAGCTTTATGTTGATATGTTAAGGTTGCTTGTTGTAAATCTAACTGTAACTGAATAGTTTTTTTAAAAGCTATTTGCTAGAATTAGATGTATAATTTTTATCTTTAAGACAACAAGATTAGGTTCTAGTCCACAATATAAATATTACGTATTTGTCAAATGTTTTGCAGATTAACATTGACTATAGCTTTAAAGTTATGTTGATTGAGTTGCCATTAAAAGTAATTAACGGTAATTGGGTGAGTTACATTTCATTAGAATTTCAAAGTTGCTATGTTCGTTAGACTTCCTATTAAAATAAATTTGTATTTATAAATGAGAAATTATACTTAATGCATACGAAAAACTAAATTGAAATTAATTCGAATAAAAGATTGTCATTTTAGATTACATGCACTTGGTCGTTGTTTAGTTTCGTATATCATTGGTTCTGTTTTTACTACCAAAATATGCATGAAATTATTTTACTATGGGTATTCTTTTATACAGATGATAATTTTTTTTTATTTTTTTTTTTTGGGAGTGGAAATTCATATTAAGATTTTTTTAGTTGTTATTTAAATTAAATTAAATATTATTATATAATGCTATAAAAATAATTATAGCTACCGATATCGTAGTCAGATACGTATTAATTATATTCGAATTTTAGACAAATATAAGTTACGTAACTACGAAGTCTATGGCAAAAACAATTTTTCCAATCTGCCTCAAAATCATAATTTTAATACATTGTTTTTATTATTACTTCTCTAATATTCTATTCACGAACACGCCGAGTTCTAAGAAAAAATATTATTTTTCGAAGTTTACAATTTTACGATAGGTTTTTCCCATCTCATATACAGTTTCGACGTAATAGCTGGCTGTATAAATCACTATCAATCAATTTCGATTAAATTCCGGCTGTTATTGGAACGCAATTTAAAATTCTACATTTAAAAATTACTAATTTTCTCTAATAAATGTTAATTTTTCTACAATTTCAATATTTTATAATAAATTATGTGATTTTAACTTTATTTGTTTTAAAAATTACAACTAAATCGATTTATTAAACTGTTATTCTATTGGGATCCAGGAATCGCTGCTTAACATTTCAAATATAACATTAAAAAGATGTAATATTAATTAGATAAAACTTGTTTCAGAGACAACAGAAATGTCCGAAAACAACAGCTGCATCAGCAGATTTTTCAAAGATGATCCCGTCAAAAGAGCCAAAGAAATAAGTCCAATAAGAATGACGTCACAAACAAACCTCGATTCCTCACAAGATCTTAGCCAAACATCTATGGATTCGGAGTCTGATGCATTAACATTGTCACAATTAACATTAGAAGAACCTGAACCTATAATTATTAAATCATTTTATAATATAAGCGAACGAAAAATGCCGACATCACCTCATTATGTAATTGAAGAAGAATTCTCACAGAACCCCTGGGCGATGTTAATAGCAACGATATTTCTAACAAAAACATCCGCGAAAACCGCCAGGCGCTATATGAGAAGTTTTTTTGATGAATATCAAACACCATATGACGTTTTAAATGATACTCCTACATCATTGGAAAGGTTCTTTGAAAATTTAGGTCTTAGAAAACGCGGGCATATGATTTGGAAGCTTAGCTATCAATTTGTTAGTTCGAAATGGCGTAGAGCTGGCGATTTGTGTGGCATAGGTAAGTACGGCGAAGATGCTTATAGAATTTTTTGTTTGGGCCACACAGATGTGAACCCAGGAGATAGATATTTAAAGTTATATTTGGATTGGCTTAGGAAAAATACAGAATTTCTTGAAGATAATGGAATTATCGAAAGTGAGTGTGTTATTGAAGATCCTGTTCTAAAATATTACAGAATAACTCTAAAAGAATGAACAAATTGTGTTAAAAGAATATGGAAAAAGAAGGCAAATTAATAAACAGTTCGTAAGCACTTTCATTTTTGAAATACGCAGTGATTTATAGGAAATGGGTTGATTTATTATTAAAGAAACACATAATTTGTTACAAATAAGAATTTGCATGAACCTGTGCTGTATTGTACATAGCTCTCAATTCAAAAAATGATCAGTTAAAGGTTTTAAAACAAAATATATTTTAAATCTAAATCTCTCGTGATCTAAAAAATGTAAATGCAAATAATTTTATTGAAATCTATTATTTGCTTGCTATTTTGATAAATATCTGTCTATACATCGATTACGTTGGTGATAATCTTAATAAATTATGTATGTAAAAATGTATTTTTGCTGTTATTTAACCCTTTAATTGTAGTGTATGTTATAGTTAATTAAATGTGTAAGGTAAAGAAAACTGAGAAAGTAACATAACACCATATAATCATTAAATCAATATAAAAGTTAAAATTAAAGTAATTTATAAAAATTTGCTTTGAATTAAGTTTCACAGAAATTTTTATTGTGTAAACTAACTCGTCAGCGACTCTACGCGGAGTTAAAAAAACAACTTAATTAGTATCCTATGTGTTTCTCCAGGCTATGTTCTACATCTATGCCAAATTTTAGCGAGATACATACAGCCTTTCAGAATATTAGTTAGTTATACCAATTTACTTTTATTCTAGAAAACTGGCATGTATTTATTAGCAGTTTTATCAATGGAGTTTATTTCTGCTACAATGACAGTGAAGCTACCAAACCAATTAGTAAGAAGCGGCTTAGAGGATAATCTATCTGTTGTTGTAAAAATGCAATTTTATGACACACACATTGAGCATTTACCAGTTCGATGTTGAAATTCACGTACGTTTAATTTATTGAATTTGAATTAGAGTGCCATCTAGTAGCTACTAGCAGTACTATCACATCCGTAGATAACATAAAATAGTATCTGTGTAACAAAGGTTAATAGTTATAACAGTTAACGAATAACAATTAAAACGTAATGTTTTTTTTATTATAACGTTAAATATTCTTAGCAAATTTTTAAATTATTTGATAGAAACACGTTATATATATACATAGAATAACGTTAATTAAATAAAATCATGTCCGTTTTGTATACATGCCAATTTATTAAATCTTATTCGTCCTGATAGAATTTTTAGAAGCAAAAGTTTTCTACATACCGTGAATAAATTGCAACTTGAGAAAATCTCAAGAAACAGACGAATATTTTTAGTCAATGTTTTTGATCCGAATATTATGTTTCAGTTTTTATTGCTGCAGTGAAAACTCACGGTAGAGTTTGACCTATAATAATAGAGTTATTTGTGGTGTTTTTTTAACATCTAAAAAGATACTTCTAGGAGTGAGTTTAACTCTGTAATCGGTTGTCTTAAGATTTTGGTTATACTAAAACAAATTCACAATGTTTTCTTATATTCAATATGTATTACTTATTCATTAAGACCGAACTTTAATTTTAAATTTCATAAAAATAGCTAAGTTCATTTTATTGTCATAGATAAACATAAAAAGTGTGCAGATATTTAAAATTATTTATCGATAAATCAATAGAAAAAATATTTTTCACAACTTTTGACTATACAAAAAATATTAAAAAAATAACACGGAATGTTCATAGCGATGTTTTAAATTTTCCCGCCATTGTGTTTCACAAATAAACCAATGGGCCGCTTTTGGCGTCGCCAACTTCACGTTGGTATGTTGATAGAGTGATCGTTCACTGCGATGTTGGCAGCAGTGTCGGCTGTTGCAAATGGTGGATTGCGTTACTTTTTCTCGTGCTCCGTGTAAAATATTTACGTAAAATAGTGTTAATTTCGTGGTGCAGTGTTTCTGACTTACAGAAACATGTCGGAAACACTGCCGAACAACAAAAAACAAGTGCCGAGGCAGTTGGTGAGTGTTTATTGTTAGATTTTTACGTATTTAGTCCCGGGTGACGCCATGGTGGCTTTATCTGGGATCACGTAAACATGAAATGGTGCATCGCTGCATCGTGTATCGATTTCTGAAAGTTACGGGAATGTTATAAAAATTATGTCAAAAGGTATGGAATCAAAATGACCATCGCTTGCGAGGGTCATCGGACTTTATTTTTTTCCGATCACGCCGCGAGCGAGTTCAAAACGCGGCGGCCGTATGCATTCGCGCATGCGAGGAGGTGTCAAAATCTATAATAGTTCCGGAGGAGATCGCGAGTTTGTAATATAGCGACGATGATAAAGAGCGGCCCGCGGAGCGGTGCGCGCGTCAAAGACGTCGATGTCGTAGCATACTTAGCGGGCATCTGGTAGGGACGAAGGCGTTTCCCTCCCGCGGCCGGCGGCCGAGTGACGGAGGGCAGCGGCAGGCGGCCAGGCCAGGGGCGTGCGCGCGGCGCACTGCGACCACACGACAACCATTACTTTAATCTACTTTGTTACTTAACTAATATTCTGCTGAATAATTACTACACCAATAATAGATGACTTACTGAAATGTGATAGAAGGATATTTAGAGGCTGTTCCCTCTTGACTGTCAACCTCTTTGTTTCCAAAGGCAGACCATGTCCTATCAAAGTTTTAAAAGTTTTATTGTCTCTTGATATCAAGTTACTTGTGGTGTTTATTTATTCATTTAGTTAACCTTTTATGTAAAAAGAAATAATCTAATTATTTAAAAAGTAATTTTTGTACATTGATAACAAAATAGTATGTTTTTTGTTGAGTGTTAAATATAAAAAATTAAATTAAAATTCAGAAGTTCAGGAAAGTGAAAGTCTTAAAGATTGATACTTTTTTGATATCAACTGAACAAATACTTGTTTCACAACATATTTTCAAGCCACAAGTTTAGTTAAAAATATATTGACTGTAAAAAAAAAAATTGCATGCATTTATGATACATGGAAATAAAAATGAGTATGAAGAATTTAAACAAAAAAAATATAATAAAAAAATTGGTAAATAACATTGATGACAATTTTCTCAATGTCACTTAACATAACTTTCTCTTAATGGAAATTATAGTTAAAAGTATATAAATTTATTGTATTACATTTCATGTATCAGCGGGAACGCAAGCAACGCAAACTGTACTCAGATGAATGGGCACTTGGTGATGATGAAGCTGAAGGTGGCCGTGGGTTTTCACTGGCTGATAAACTGGAGAGTCCCAGGTTCGAACATACTGGAGCTGTCATCGAAATGACTGGACCAGAACTTACCATTTCATATCTACAGAAGAATGGCTTCACAACACCGTTACTGTTTAAAGAGAAAAATGGATTAGGATTGAGGTAAGTGTAATTATTATTTAAATTTGTATCTTTGCTATTAATTTTTTGTAGATTTAAATTTGCCTAATTTGATGGAAAATTTATCACTTTTTTAATGTCATGTAAATGGTCAGAATTATGTTGATATGTTATGTTATACATATCTGTTTTAATTTGTTTTATCAAAACCAACTTTTAAACCTTAAACAATTGAATATAGTGAGAAGATTGTAGAGCTATGATTTTCGACATAAATATTGTACATTTTTACTGAAGAGAGTGCAAGTTTTGATTTTTCTATGAGTGTATTAAAATTCAGTTATTTTTCTAACCTATATAAATTACGCGTTAAAAGTTTAATACGAGACCTAAAGAAAATCATATAATGGTAAAGTTAAAGAATTTATTTTTGCAACTGGTTTTACCTTTTATATAAAATATAAAGTACTTTTTGGTATAATATTTATGTATTGGTGATTTCTAATTGAATGACGCGACATAGCTAAGTTTAAAGAAATATGTAATATGGTGTTTTTTACGTCATAGTGCGTACTTTGTTAGAACTTTAGTATACTGCGAATAACTTACAGCGATTTTTTTTTGTTAAGCCCGAATCGGCAGTTTAAACACGTTAAGACCAGTATTGTGTTTCTATGTTATTTTATGTTGTTCTTATCGCTTTCTAAAGATACTAATCTTTATGAATATCCTGAAGGTTAAGTTTATATGACTATAAGAAAAATTAAGGTACATAACAGTTTTAAGTGAATACGATTTTGGGCTAAATCCCTTATCACATAGGCCTAAATAAATTGGCTATAACTTACGCGGAAAGTAAAGTTTTATTAATATTCTTATACTAAAATCTACTAAGATTTTAAAGCTAAATTAAATATTAACTAATAAATCAATTCATATCAATGCTTAAATTATTATTAAATGGTATCTTTTTATAGTAAAGTATTAGCTTATTAACCGTGGGTTTCCGAGTCCGAGATCTGATTTAAAACATTTATCTCTGTGTTGTCAAAGATAATGACAGGGAGGACGATATGTTTTATACAGTGATTTTGGTCGCAAAAACCCACGGTAAATAGTGTGTTTTGTCTATTAAAAGTGAGTTCTGTGCTTAGAAGAGTAATAATTTTTTCTATACTTAACGTAATTTTACAAATATAAATGCGAAAGTTTATATGGATTGATGGATGTTCCAGAAATGTTGATCGCATCTCGATGAAATTTTGGCACACAGATAGAACATAGTCTGGAAGAACACATAGGCTACTAATTATGTTACTACTAGTTATTATTTCTTTTTAAATTCCGTGCGGACGGGCGACCTTTAGTCATAAAATATTTATTTGGCGAATTTCGCAATATTGTGATTATTTTAATTGCAAGCTTGTCCAAAAATTTCAATGTGCGATTACCGAGTTGAGGTTTCAAATTGGGTTTGTTGTTTTTCTTAAAAAGCACGTTCCAAACGCCAGCGTCGGAACTAGCGACCGATTGTTGCTTTAAAATCTATTACACCGCGGGTTTGCACTGTTGAAACTCGTGCACAAAAACATATTCTTACGTCTCTTGTTCTCTTTGAAAAGAACCAGAAAAAGGCAGTGTAATCGAACATTTTTTTATATCAAATAAGCATCTTTCTTTAATTTAAATGACTGAGTTCAATAAAAAAGGAAATCTAACCTTAAAAGATTTCTTTTTAAAATTGCAATAAAAATGTTTTTTTTTGTATAATTCTCTTGGAACTTTAACATGACCTACTCTACAATCTGGCAAACTTTACGATATTTGATCTTTGATAAAAAAATATCGATAAAATGTCAGGTAGTCATTCAAAATACAAGTCTATTTTTTTATTTAAACTTTATGATTTAAATTTCAACTAATTGACTTAATTTCGTTTATTTTCAAGTTTTGTTTTCCATTTAAATTAATTATAATCGGCCGTAATACTTCAATATAAGTGTACAAGTGTATATTATCTGAAAATTGGTGTGGGTTGACGACGCTTCTCATTAAAAAAGTTTTTTTCCCTAATATTTTCTAGCTACAAGTACTTTTAGCCAACTTTTTATTATTACTTCTCTATTTCGTAATTTAAAAAAACAAACAGATGTAAATCGGGTCAATTCTGCAATACACAGTTTAACGTTGAAGTGTAATTAGTTAACTGCTTTTTACCGGAGTATTTCAAATGGGCTTCCGGGCGACGCCGAACGGATTGGTTAGTACTTTTTCTGGTATAAAAACTACAGGATAGTAGTAATATGCTTATAACTAGTTAGCTGTCCATGTAGCCGTTTTGGACCTTCTAACATCCATCCATCCAAACATTCGTATTTATAACATTAGTAAGGCTTATAATGATCTATACTAATATTATAAAGTATAAAAAAAAATTGCGTGGTGGCTTCGAAACTAGTGAACTGTTTTAGAAAACTTCTTTCACTATTGGTAAGCTACTCTATCCTCGGATGACGATTCATTATTATTAGATGTTTAATTCCGCACTAACGAAGTCGCGGGCAGCTGCTCGTTGTTTAATTTTTTTTTATAAAAAGTCCCAAAAAGAGAAGTTTTTCATTTCTTGTTTTTTATTCTATTTTGCGTAAACAAAAACACACAATGAGAACGCTAAATAAAAAACATTGACGTCTTTATAAGTATTATCATTGGGATATGATCTCTAATAGTCGGGAATATGGTGCAATAATAAATAACGGCGACACCCGGGACGTACGCACGAAAATAAACGATTCAATCTTGTTGCACAAACAACCGTCTCGGATGCAAATCAGCTCCAGGATCGATGTCTGCAGGCTGTCGAATGACAAGGTTACGACGCTCTCCCTGTATACCTGATTTCCTATTAAAATAAAAAAAACTACGTCATTATATATATAACAATAGCTGTCGCCCGCGACTCCGTCCGCGCGGATTTAATAAAATACCTAATTAGTCTATGTGTTCTTCCAGTTCATGCAAACATTCGCATTTATAATATAATATTAGTTTTAAGTTTTATAATATTGGTCAAATTAAGGTGTGTATTCGTTAAAAATCATTATTAAGGATAAGTTAATTAAAACTCAAAAAACTGGACTTTTTTATCCGACTGACGAAGAAGGTTTTTTGCTCGTGTGTAAGTTTATTTTTATGTATGTTATGTTTATTTTTATGTATATTAAATATGTGGGTTTGTATGTATGTAAATTCTATTGTGACGGCCTACAGCCTGAATGACTGAAAGGATTTTGAAGAGTGAGTTATCATTCGATTGGTCCTTCACAAAGTGTCATAGAGTATATTATATCAGCAAAAAACACATGTAGTGGACGTGAGAGATAATTTTTTTTTAATAAATAATGAACGAGTTCAGAAGTTAACCGCTACTGTCCTACTGTACTGGCATAATGTAAACCAGACATAGCTTGAGATAGACAACTGGAAAACGCTTTGATCCGGTACTAGAAGTACGAGCCAGCCAAGTTAAAAAAATACTATTTTGAAAGACGTGTACCTAGTACTTACTAAATTAATTAACTTTTAGCTGTCGCGTCTTTAGTTGCAAAACTTGCATACTAATTGTATTTATGTTTGAACAATCGGAAAAAGTTTTTAGCTAATTTCATTTCTTCTCAAAAGTATCAAGAAAATGTATTTTAAAGGTGAAAAAAGAGGAATAGATTGCACAATAACAATTATATTAAACCTTTATATCTCACTGTCTAGGTAAAATAACAGGACACCTGCATTATGCAAGCTTCCAGACTGAGGTTCGAATGTATGATGAGAATTTATGAATTTTTATCATGTTTGTTCGGAATATTTGAATATAATTATTTGTGGGGTTCGCCGATATACATATACTACCAGGGAAATTAGCGGTTTTCCAATTTAAAGCATCATTCGTTATCATTTCGTAAGCATTGCGATGCGGAAACAGGCAATAGAACGCAGCTTTTAAATCTATACAAAAAATGGCCCGTCTGTAGTACACGAATTATTATTATGGTTATTTTGTAAGGGCGGAATTTATCTCGTGGCAAGGGATGACGCAATTTATACGAAAGTGGAACACCCCGAATGGCCCTGACTGTACATATTGTTATCCTTATTATTTCTATTATGAAAAATAGAGATAACTGTACATTTTGTATTTGTATTAAGGCAGCAGAACTTGAATACTCTGTTTTAACTTTGGTTATAAGGCTTTTAGCAATCCAATGATTGTCAACTAGTTGAATCTCACGTGACAGGATCGATTGCACGTGACTGGTCTAATAAACGATCACTAGGAACAAAAATAATGTATTCCAATGTTGAAAAGTTTCTATATGTTATAGAAGGCAACATAATGGAATGTAAGTTAACACCACGAAGCGTAGGTTTCCATTGGCGAAACATCTGTAAAAAATGTTCTCACTTTTTTTTAAGAGAATGTGCGGTATAATAAATGTTTTTGTATGAGTGGAGTTAGGACAGGAGAATCTCATAGTATGATTGCGGTTATTGCGGCATGGTATCATTGGGACTATTCTTATATTCAAGCTTTTGTGGTGTGGCTGATAAAAGCAAACGTGGTATTTTTTTAGTCAAATTTTAAATTAGTGAATAACTGGATCGTACCTCATACGTCATAACTTTTAAACTTTTTAATCAAGTATTTAAGTAAAATCAGAGTTTATTTGAAATTATAAAATTTAAGTTTTAAAATGCACCCAATAGATGGCGCTATCCGTTACCCTTATTTAATCGGAGTTTTTAATTTTTTTAATGTTTACTGTTTTAAAAAAAACTATTCAATACTAAATATATTGCAATTATATTAACAATAATAAGAAATGTTTTCGACCGATGTTTATATTAGCCTTTAAATCAAATATATACTAGTTAATTAAATATAAAGATTTTTAGTTGATTTAGTTTCGGTTGTTCTACGGGTATGCAAATTGGTTTTATGTCGACTACGGTATTTCATTCATAACTACTGATTTATTACGATTGTTAGCGGTAATCTATTAAAGAGCTTGAGAAAATAGTTGTTATCGTGACACTATTAAAAAAAACGATACAAATATACCATACTGAAATTTAGATCTAATTTGTTTTGGTTAGAGAGCGTAGGTGGCTGACGGCTTTGGGTTCAAATCCCGTACATTTTCTCCGATCTTACGGTGATGGAAAACATATCGATGCAACCTGCACATATCTGCGAAGAAATTCAAAATATATGTGTGAAGTCAACCGGCAGCGGTTAAACGTGGTTGACTACGGCATACGCACCTCTAATTTAGGGTAGGCTTTTGAGTCTCTCAATAGGTATAGTGAGCTGATGATGTCTCTTAATAATGATTTTTAAAATTAACATACTAAATACGATCACATTGTGAGATTGAATCTTTGCTATTTCACATAATAGTTTACGGGTGACTAGGCCATAGTCAACAACGCTGGCCAAGTGCGGGTTGGTTGACTTCACACATATCTTTGAATTTCTTCTCAGATATGTGCAGGTTGCATCACGATGTTTTCCTTCACCGTAAGAACGTCGGATAAATGTAAATCGGAAATCGAAAAACATATTTGTACATGGCGGGATTCGAACCCAGGACCTACAGATTGCAAGTCAAGTGCTTGACCCCTGAGCCACTGACGCTCATAATATAGATCATCTCTTTTTAATCGATTCACCGAGTTTTGTCTTGATTTATCGATAACTAAAGAACGCTTCGGCTCACACTCACGCTAACCCACTGTATCCAATTTACATTTGATCAACAAATATACTGTTTAAACAATTTTGTATCATAAGTGATAGTAATAAGATTGCTTTTTGATTGTTAAGTATTTTCGCACACGGCGAATGAGCTTGTATTCACAGGCAAAACGAGACAGGTTGTAAAAATCGATTTATTTATTTGTTTCTTATTTATTTATGTATATAAAACCTATAGGCATGATACAGGTATTATTTTGGGGATTTTGCGAATGATTCGTTATATTTTGTAGAATTTTTTTTATTGCTTGTCTTAGTTTTAGTATAGATAGATGGATGATTGTTAAAAGGTATCTCCGGATCGGCTCAACGGATGTCGATGAAATTGGAACAAATATAGAACATAGCCTGGAAGGCTACTTATCAAGTTTACTTTTTAATTCCGCGCGGACAGTCGCCAGCGTTAGCTAGTAAGGAAATATTGATGCAATATGTATGAGAAGTAACCGAAATATACGATGTAAAGACTATTATTTAAATTCTACATGTCATATGTAAAGTTTTACATACTAGGCACTATTATAATGAAACAAAAGCTTGTACTGACGCAACGAAAAGTGCAATCTCTGAATACAGTCGTAAGCCTCTGCAGCTCGGAATTAAGAGGGATCCGACTGTACACAACAAAGCTTTTTAAATATCACCGCAGTTATAGGCTGCATGTTTTGTTGTAAACGCTACCAATAATACACATCTTACTTCTAACTAAAACTATAAATGCGCATGTTTGGATGTATGGATGGATGTTTGTTTTAAGGTATCTCCGAAACGGCTGCATGGACCTCTCTGAAATTTGGCATACATATAGAACATAGTCTGGAAGAACACCTAGGCTACTAAATAATCTTTTTTTAATACCGCGCGGACGGAGTCGCTGGCGACATCTATATATAAAAATTTATTTCATCCAGTAACGAAACATATATTGTTGTCTCTGTTTTTTAAGCAGAATGAAAGGGATATCTGTATGTTTTTATGTGAGTGTTTCGGCAGTGGAAACTGTGAGTTTCCTTATACTAGTAACAACATATTCATTGCTTAACCTTTGTTTTGATTTCAATCTGTCGATGTGATGGAATGACAATTGAAGCATAACTAATTGATGTGTCATCGTATTTATACCACATACAACAGTTCCTACCGTACTGGTGTGTATATATACATCTTGCTGTCGCCCGCGACTCCGTCCTCGTGGATAAATAAAAACGATTGCTCGCAGCGTCCAACAAAAAAAGAATTTTTCAAATCGGACCATCAAACAAAATCTTCCGCTTTATAATATTAGTAGAGATTTAGTATTTGTACTCAGTTTGTAAGAAGTTTAAATAATAAAATATATCTAAAAATATCTGTATGTCTGCATGTTGGTTTGTCAGATGTAACGATGACTTGAAAAGACTGGCAGGCTGTTCTAAGAACGCCAGAATGATAAGGTCTGTGTTTTGAAAAAAAAATACTTTTTCACATTATTTTCTCATTTTAACTTACCAAGGCGTCTCAACGCTCGAAGTCTAATAAAAATATATACATAGAAATTGTAAAATATTTACTTTTTATTTATTTATTTCGTGTAACATTATGTACACATAATAGAAAAATATCACATTCGTTTTTATGTAATTACAATATTACACACACATTAATGGTTTAATGTGATATGAAACAATTTGTCGATTCGAATATTCATCAAAGGTGAAACCACTTGTAAATATGTGTCTATTTATACAATAGACGTAATGAAGGGGAGGCTGCCACCCTACGAGGTAGGTAGGTGAGGGTGAAACATGGATTTTGATCCCAACGCGCTTCCAAGAAATGTTCATAATTATATTGAAAATTACGAGAAAAGGTTACCTGTTTGATTTTTCGTTGTTAGCTGTTTTCAAGGCGAAATGTTATTTCTTCAATTATTTTGTGTATGCCGTTATAATTTTAATAACACATTCCTTTTATATTTCTACATAAAGAGGGCGATTGGTAATAAAAATTGTACGACCATTTTGATTCAAACAAATGGCCTTAAATAAACTAAGTCTTGAACGCACTTTTCGCGATAATTTTCGTACAGTAATATAGTAAAATTCATCAGAGAAAATAAGAGAATATGTTTTTGTGTGAATGTCTCGCTGGTGGAAAATTCGTAATATTTACGGGGATTGCGTGACAAGGGTAAATTTGTTTGTTGAAAACGCAGTGTAACTTAACTCTAACTGAAATATAAAAACGTGTTTTCTTCAAACAAAACTACAATATATATGAAGAAAGGAAAGCCTGGTGTTAATTTACTGTACTGGATTATTAATGTATCACATGAAACTTTTAGCTATTGATTGCTCTAACATCTTAATGTGGGTTTCTAATGACAAAACGGTTGTACAAAAATATATTACCCTCACTCTCTTTACCTTTGAAGAAAAAAGAGATAACTATAAGATTTTGTATAGCTCTTTTGTCAATCTCCAAGGTTATTTTTATAGTTTAGGAATCCAAATATCATGCTATAGTTACATTAATATTGTTGCAGGGTGCCTACAAGCAACTTTACTGTGAACGACGTGCGCATGTGCGTCGGCTCCCGCCGTCTGCTCGATGTCATGGATGTCAACACGCAGAAGAACATCGAGATGACAATGAAGGTGAGCGCTATTGACTAATGCGCAGATAGTATGCAAATCAGCGGGGTGCCGGCGTGATGTGTTACCATGGTTACCGTGTTCTGTATAACTAAACAGCCCACACTTCTTTGGCGTGGATAATTTCTTAGTTCTTATAAGAATAGAAAAAAATCATACAATCTTTTACCTCTTATCAAATTTTTAGGGTTTGAACCAACCTACTGATTCTATCTTGTAATTCTAATCGCTATAATATATCAAAATAGCTGTCGTCGCGGTATTGAAAAAAAATTATACGTCGCTTATGTGTTCTTCCAGGCTAGTTTCTACATCTATGGCAAATATCAGCGAGATCCATGCAGCCATTATGGACATACCTTCTAACAAACATCCATTATACATCTAAACATTCGCATTTACAATATTAGTAAAATAACTTTTTAAGTATTAAAAAGTTATTTAATTGCACATGATCATGACCAAGATCAAGCGGCAGTAAATAAATATCAAGGATTTCTTTTATATACTCCTAATTTACTTATCTCGTCTTTTTCACATCCTAACATGTACACTTCTCTTTGTTAGTACCTTTTCCATCTAAATATATTTTGTTTTGAATAATCTTACAAATGTGAAATCTTCATAAAGGCAGATTACCTAATCACCTTTATTAATTACCTTTCCTTGTTCTTTCATACTGAAAAACTTGTTAAAAAAAAGAAAAATTATATAATATCCGAACAAGGTTTGTTTCAGTCTTAATTCATAGTTGCAATTAAAATAGTGAACAAGAGAACTTTTTAAAAACTAGTTTTTCGTATCAAAAGAATTTGAGTGACACGCCTGAGTCGCAGCTTTTATTACGCTATGAATACAGTCCCATTGTTGTCAACGCTTTCCAAAGAAAACCAACTATGTAATGACACTCATACTTTATGTACATACTAGTGGTTGCCCGCGACTCCGTCCGCGAGAAATTAAAAAAAAATCATAATTATATCACATAGTAGCCTATGTATTTTTCCAGACTTTGATCTGTATGCCAAATTTCATTTAGACTTGTTCAGTCGTTCTGGAGATACCTTCAAACTAACATCCATCTAAACATTCGCATTTATAAGTAGAAGTGTCTGTATGTAATACGATGAAATAAATATATTTCCTACACATGATGTATGTAGTAGCTGTTAGCTATAACCAATTATAACATTTTTGATTGTCTGTATGTCCATAAGGCCGCTCTCGTTCGGAATAAACTCTGAAACGGCAGGACCGAGTTTGACGTGACTCGACGGGAAGGTAGCTTTTGCACGCAGGCATAATATAGGTTATTTTTTATGCGCTGACGAAGTCGCGGTCGGACGCTTGTATATGACAGAGAAATGCACCAAGTATCTATGTTTATATTTATAAGACAGTTTCAAGCGTGACGCAAAAACATTAAAATTCACTCGTCTATCACCAAACAACCTACATAAGTTTTTAGAACAAACCCATTATAGTAAACAAACAAAGTTAACCCAAATCACAATAAGTAACAACGAATAATCAAAAGATAACACTACTTACACCATACTAATAAATGCGAAAGCTTAGATTGATGGATGGTTGGATGGATGGATGGTTGGATGGATGAATGTTTGATTGAAGGTATCTCCGTAACGGCTCAACGGATCTTGATGTAATTTGGCACAGGTGTGGAACATAGTCAGTAAGAACACATAGGCTATTTTTTTTAATTCCGCGCGGACGGAGTCGCGGGCGATAGCTAGTGATATTATAAATGCAATTGTTTAGATTGATGTATGGGAGTTTGTTTGAAGGTATCTCCGGAACAGCTCAACGGATCTTGATGTAATTTGGCAATAGACGTGGAACATAGTATGGAAGAAAACATAGGCTACCTATTAAGTTTTTTTTTAATTCTACGCGGACGGAGTCGCGGGACAGATAGTCGTTGATAAACCAACGTATAGAGCTATAAAGACTTTCCTTGAACAAACAAATTCTATTTAAACTAGTTACGACGTATAACAGAGTAACTTGGCGGGTGGTCTCCCACATATTGCGAAGCTCGCGAAAAGCTTTCTCATAACTATCAAACAATGACTCACGTAAATAAATTATCACTACTTTTATATGTAGAATTGTATATAAAAAATGTAACACGATTTTTAACTTAGTGCTATATCGGAGTTGGAAAAAAAGAAACGAAATCCTTTAAATAAAAGCGACAATATCCGACCGTAGCCACCAAATTTATCAATACGACCCGATCTCAAATAAGACGTTTTCAAGTTTTTCTTTTATTATAATAAAATATTTACTTATAACTTTTGAATTGCAACATTTTATGCCTGTTTGTTACTTGATAATACGTAGTTTGACTTGTTATGTAATATACATAGCTCTATTCTTATCTTACTTACCAATACTATGAATGCGAAAGATGGATGCATGGATGTTTATAAAAATGTATCACAACGGGCCCACTGGATCTAGAAGTAATTTGGTAAAGGCATAGAAAACTGTCTAAAAGAACATAGGCTACTAAGTTTTTTTATTTCCACGCCGACAAAATCGCGGGCGACAGCTAGTCTATCATATTTAGAGACCCAATTATTTGATAGATACGAGTGTTGTATTGTCATGATAATTACTGGATGTTTTATCTGGGTTAAAAGTGTCTTCCTATAAAGTTCTTTGTTCCTATGTGCCATTTTAATCGAACAAAGTATTAACTTTAGCGTGCTTAAAAGAGGCGTGTAAATATCTCATGAAACAAAGAAACACGAGACATACCGGTCGTGTAGAAAGAAATGCCTGTATTATAATTGCGCTAATTCAGCTAGAGTTGCATAGTTTAAGCGTGGTCGGAAATAAACGATCTATTAGAGTCACCAATAAAATATACGCAGTTGTTGACAGAATAATTCATGAAATATTTCATACATTCAATAGTTTAGTTTAAACTATTTTAATGTATATACCAATTTATTTGTCTTAGAGTTAATTCTTTATGTAGAATCGTCGAGCTTTGTAAAACTGCGTTCTCATTGTTGTACAAAACCGGTAACACCCAGCTCTGTCGACGGGGCAATGCCGATTGCCGCTTTGCAGTGCCACTTGTAATGCGCAGCTGACTTCGCGAGTTTGCGCAAACCGGTGTGCCAACATCTGCGCAAACATTGCTGTTATGTTGGTACAACTGACGCAACGAGTTTGGTTCAGTTCAGTTGGCGGTCGCGCATACACCCACGTAGACCGTTTTGTTGGAAGGGGTTTATTTTAATGTATGTCGTATATTCACACGTAATAATTTTGCAGCAGCTTCCCTATTCATTATCTCATGTACCCGAAATTATATAACGGATACCACTGGTGTCTACAAAATGTTTTACGTTATTTACTTCTTTGAAAGATAATATTGTAATGATTTAAAAATTAAACAAAACACAATCAAAAACTTGAGCATTTTCACTGAATTAGATTTCTTTATATACAATTGTAAGATTGACCTTTTTGGCAAACAAAAGCTTGGTTAAAAATATATGTTTTTACAAATTGCCGAGTACACATTGTGTGACGTCATGTGAAGGCGTATATATCTGATACTTCATCCTATAATTAATTTTGTTTTATTCCTAAGGCATCATTTATTGCATGTGATGAAGATTAATCATTTAATAAGCCGATAAAACACTTAAGTGATAAGTGAATAGTATTGTATTTAGAGTAAGAAAATTTGGCGCAACTCCAATCGAGTAATGACTGATTACGTTGTAATGAATGGAACACAATTCATAAAAGACATGTAAAACTGATTATTGTTTCTTAGTAGAGATAAACATTTGACTGATCCGACGAAAGGAGTTACATCTCTTAAGAGATATGTAAATGCTTTCGACTGATGCGTCGATTTGTGTTTACTTTTGATATCGCCAAAATAGCTAGAAGACCGTTGCCCTTTGATATCTTTAAATCAAATAATGCAGATGGGTTGTCCTTTATTGCTAGATGAGAGGATGTACAGAAGGAAAATACCCTTTCCTGTATGTACATCTCCTAAATCAAATTCCTGTTCCATCCTTACAAAATGGTAGGAAGGGAAAAGAGTTATGCAATTGAGCTTTATATGAGAGTAGAAAAATAAAGGGGTTCGTTATATGTGTGTGCAGGATTGGCAGCGTTATTACGACGATGCCAACAAGGAACGTCTGTTGAATGTGATCTCGCTGGAGTTCTCGCACACACGTCTCGAGAACTACGTGCAAGCGCCGCGTATAGTGCGCCTCATCGACTGGGTGGACACAGTGTGGCCACGTCATCTCAAGGATCAGCAGGTATAGTACTATTCAAAGTAAATGATGGCTCACAATTTCGCACCACATTTTTAATGCGAGGAGAAACTCCATTGAAAAGCATATGGTCGCAATTAACCACGAGCCGCAATAAAGATTGAATCTTATAATACCAACCTATAATTTCCTATACATTCATTTCTTACGCTAAATATTTTCAATTTCAAAATATTTTCAACAATCATGTATTTATCCCTTTTTATCTTAAGATGTTAGCAATAAGCTATTAAACTTCCTTTTTCGCCAGTGATCAAAGCATTTTCAGTAAACGAGTTTGTAGTTAATTTATTTCCGTTACTCAGTCATATTAAGTTTACATACTTACGACTACAATTACCGTGTGTTTCTTTGTATTCAAACTATCTCTGATTAAGTATTATTTACAGACTGAATCCACCAATGCTCTGGATGATATGATGTACCCCAAAGTACAAAAGTATTGCCTCATGTCAGTCAAAGGCTGCTATACGGATTTCCATATTGATTTTGGAGGCACATCGGTGTGGTATCACATTTTGAGAGGTTAGTGCAAATATTTCTTTTATCTATTGTCAATTATCTTAATTTTTATAATAATAAGGACCAAAGAAATATTTTTTTTAAGTTATCTTTGTTTTTATAACTTTCACAGAAATAAATTTAAATACAAGTTACTTATAAAATCTTAGTAGGAAATCTTTTTTTCTATTTACTAAAGGGTATATTTTTATAATTTTCATACTTTACTTAACTGGATACAAGCGATATGGGATATTAATAAAGGTTTTCTTATAGTTTAACGGTTCAAAAAAGTTTTTAAAAGTTAAATGGTTCACGATGGTCCTTCAAATTTGCGAAAGCTTTGCGTAACTCAACTTTGAAGCTCGCTACGTTCCGTTTACCGATAAACTTTACAATGACGAGAATATTGCAAACTTTTAGAAGTACTAGTTGCTTTTACCTTGAATTTACATACATTTCTCCGATAAAATTTGCACAGTTCATATTTTACAAACTTTTTCGCGTTGCTTATAAAAAAATTAAATTATCTGTCTGCCCGCAAATCTGCGTTTGTTCCGGGTAATTTCCGGAACGACGACTTACAGGAAGGTAGCTGTTGTGTCCGGGAGTAATATAGGCAACTTTGAAAAATACTAAATTTAAATACACAGACGAAGTTGTGGGCAATCGCTAGTTCTCTTAGATTGCGTCTTTGTGTAGAAAGAAAGATAGAGACAATGATTGTTGTTGTAGGTGCGAAAGTGTTCTGGCTAATCCCGCCTACAGAGAAGAACTTGCAGCTGTACGAGAAGTGGGTGCTATCAGGCAAACAATCGGACGTATTCTTTGGTGATACAGTTGAGAAATGTATTCGTGTTCATGTGAGTCATTCATTGATTATTGTTAATATATATATTTAAAATAAGACGTGATTTGTTAAAGCGGTACACGCTTAACCAGGTTTGACTGTATCTTTATCTTACTAATATTATAAATGCGAATGTTTAGATGGATGGATGTTTGTTTTAAGGTGTCTCCAGAACGGCTGAACAGATTTCAATGAAATTTGGCATACATAGAGAACATAGTCTGGAAAAACACGTAGGCTACTAATTATGTTTTTATTTTTATTAATAAATGTGGAGTGTCTATATGTAAAATCGAGAAAAAAACATATTTTGTTTGGCGTTGCTGATAACGCATGTACAAATTTTTGTCTATATGTCTGTTCGTAATCTTCGGAACGGCTGAAGTGACTTTGACGGGAAGGCAGATGCACGCGGGCATGTTATAGGCTACTTTTCCTCCTGTTTTAATTCTGCGCCAGCAAAGTCGCGGGCGAGCATTAGTATATTAATATATTGTTACACTTTACAGTTACAAGCGGGACACACGTTCTTCATCCCGACGGGTTGGATCCACGCGGTGTACACGCCCAGCGACTCCCTCGTATTCGGAGGCAACTTCCTGCATCAGTTCGGTATCGAGAAACAGCTCAAGATCGCTCAAGTTGAAGATGTCACCAAGGTAATTTTGTATTTGTGTAGTTTTCAGTGGTTAGGTAGTTTTAGAATAATCTTTAAAAGCTTGGCAATTATTAGATAAAAATTTAATAATATTTGCAACGGCTAAGTCGATAATGATGGAACTTTCACTGAACGGTAGTTGATGTGTTTAATTTTTTCTTTTTTTGATTCTGTGGTGACGTGGTCGTGGGCGACCGTTATTATTACTTAAATTCAATTAAAACACATACTAAAATAGGTCTATTAATGGACGCAGTTAAGTCGTTAAATGGTAAAATAAAGGTTTAGTATGTGTTATTTACTTTAAGAGACTACTTGATTAACGTAATATACTTACTAAAATGATGAATTCCAGGTACCACAGAAGTTCCGTTACCCGTTCTTCACGGAGATGCTGTGGTACGTGTTGGACCGCTACGTGAACGCGTTGCTCGGCCGCACGCACCTCGCCATGGAGGGCGTGCCTCCGCCACAGCTCACCACGCCCAAGGAACACGTGCATCTCACACAGAACGAACTGCACGGACTCAAGGTAAACTGATCGTTGCTGCGTGTTTATACTGCCAATACATTTGCACAAAGACATTTTCAAATAGAAATAACAAATCCGCTTAACTAAATTTGATAAATTGGATTTTTTTAATATAATATGTGGAAGCAAAGGCACGGCTACTCGGCTTTTACTATGTAAACTTCCACTTCAATCGACAGAGGAAGGGAGGCATATAAAGAAGTTATCATTTCTTATAAGAAACGCGTGAGATGGAGAAGAGGACGAAAATTAATTAATTTCTTCTTGGCACCTGTCTTCTGTGTGGTTTTGGCATTCCACCGGTGTAGCTGTTGCGGGTTTTATCACTAAAAAACAATAAATTGTTGTATTCCAGGCAATCGTGATGTACTTGCACCAGCTGCCCGCGGCGCGCAAATCGGTGCCGGAGCTGTTGAGTGACCCCATAGCACTGGTGCGCGACGTGCGTACCCTTGTCGAGCAGCATCGACATGACAAGCAGCACCTCGCGGTCACAGGAGTGCCTCTGCTTAAAGGTACATTCTTATCTAGTCGAGTTATAACGCGCATAAAGCATACAAACTGAGTACGACAGATAAGATGCTAATTAATTATCTATCATTTACATTTTAACAATACTCAATAGACTTAATCGTCAAGAGAAAAGGAGTTGAAAATATTGAAAAAGATCCGTAAATTGCAGTTAATAAAATGTTTTTTTTTTAATATTATAAATGTATTTTTGTCAGGTCCCGACGAGGCAACGAGTGAGCGGCGTCAGTCGAGTGGACGCGGCGGGCGTGGCGGTGGTCATCGCGGCCCGCCCTCGCGACCCCGTCCCGAGCACGCCAACTCTGCGCCCCGCAGGCGACGTACCAGGTACACTGTCATAACAACTTAATCAAACTAATGGGAATTTCATCTCTGATTAACACCTAAAAATGTTAAATGATCAGTAAAGGCACTCCATAGTAAAATTGTAATGTAAAATCTCCATTAAGGTACAGCTTAGCCTTTAAGCGACCAAAATGACATACCCCGTTACTTTACGATCGATGGGAAAGACGCAAACGTTACTACCTCCTTCTCCAGCCCCGGTGGAAATAAAGAGATGAAGTTTTCTAAATGTGTTGTATCTGTAGATGCAAAAAGTGCGAGGCGTGCCTGCGCACGGATTGCGGCGAGTGCGTGTTCTGCCACGATATGGTCAAGTTCGGCGGACAGGGGCGCGCCAAGCAGACCTGCGTCATGCGACAGTGCCTACAGGTAACATTAAGTCTTCAAACTAAACTAACTAAATATGTCTTCCAGAAAATTCTATCTCAGATATGTGATTTATAGTCCCTCGAAATAAAGCCAGTAAATGTTTTTTTGTGTTTTAGCCAATGTTGCCGGTGACAGCGTCGTGTGCGGTGTGTCACCTGGACGGCTGGATGCAGACGCCGGTCGCGCCCCAAGCCAAGGGTAACTCCGGTAATTGATGCTTCTTTATACTAAACATATAATACATTTTGTTTTACTAACAACATTTTAGTCTCATTTCTTAAGGTATGATTTATTAAGCAATTTGTATAGTTCGAGACTATAATTGTTTTAAATGGCATACTGTTGTATTCAAAGTTTGATTTGGTATGAAAAATCTTCAATAAGCAACTGTTTAAGCGGACTGTATGATACGGCAGTATCATTTAAAATATCACCCAAGATTTTTCTTCTTCAAAGAATGACATTAGTATAGAAACTGCTTCGTATAATATTCAATGATGATTTATTAAAATCCCTTTTTGTTATTTTATGTATGTTCCTAAAAATGTATACTTGTTTTCCAGGACGGAATGGTCCGTCGTCGTTGCGCGAGTGCTCTGTGTGCTACAGCATCGTGCACCCAGGCTGCGTGCCCCCCGGCGGTCAGCTCAACGAGGACCTGCCCAACTCCTGGGAGTGCCCCACATGCACCAACATGGGACTCAACCATGATTACAAAGTATGATTGATTATTCCGCATTGTAACGTTTCTAATGTGGAGATTTTGATAGTTGTTTTTATTAAATATTTCTATTCGTAGCCGCGTCATTTCCGTGCACGTCAAAAGTCGTCAGATTTGCGGCGCATGAGTGTTGGCTCCGATGTCAGTCAGCTAGGACATCATAATCATCAGGTACTGATTTCTATTCATAAAATACCTATCTCACCATACTCAGAATCTTTAATTGATCACTAAGGGAGAGTTTAAATATTTTCCAGAGTAAACTGCAGCTGCCTCCGCCGGGGCCAATACCTGTCAAGTCTGAGACGGGCTCCGACAACGAGGGCAAGAACGACGGCTTGCATCTCAAATCTGAAGACGGTAAATTCAACATTTAATATAAATAAACATTTTAATTCAAGCACTTTATTTGTTACTGTTCCTAGTGTAATTACACCTAACATAATATTATTCTATATTCAATGTTTCACTTATTCTACTTTTCTTTTACAATTTCAGATTATAGTTCGGTCACGTGACAATCTTCAAGCGCAATTTTATTTATGTGTTCTGTTAATTATTGCATTATATATTTAATATCACAGATATAAAGCGCGAGGAGTGCGGTGGCGAGGGTAATGCGGAGGAGAATTGGGAACCGGCGGCGAAGAAGCGTCGCTGTAGCCATGAGGACGAGGCGCCCAAGAAGCAGGCGCTGCGGGCCCACCTCGCGCTGCAGCTCACGCACCACACCGGGAAGGTACGTCCGAAGGTATTATGCTTATTTATATTTTTACAACATAACTAACAGTACCCTTATCACACTACGAGACACTTCTTTAAAATCTTTTATCTTACAGGGAAAAATGCACAGAGTTTAACACTAATTTTGTTAAGATTTATGAAAAAAGATATTTGATGACTGATATTAGTAATGGAAAAGTCAAATATATATCGAACAGACTTGGACTTCGTAATTCATCTTCTGTGAATTTGTCTAGGACGCAATTTGTTTAATAATTAGTCGTAGTTATAATACTGTACAGAAAAATACACAGTAAAATATAAAGTTTAAAGACAATTTTATTTAAAACGTTTATTTGTGTAGAATCTTAAGAAGCCCTTATACCCGGTGCGACCGGTGGGGTACTGCGGGGCGCAGCACGCGGGCGTGCCCTGGCTGGACCGCGACGCTATGATCGCTGTCTTCTCCAAGCTCACCCCCATCGACCTCACCAGCTGCTCACTCGTCTGCAAGGCCTGGGCTGAGTACACGGTAATGTATTACAAACATAACTGTCTTAATTCTAGATAAAAATTTCATATATAAATAAGTAATAGTAAGCCATTGCTAATTGGAGGTCCGTGGGCTATGGTTAACCCTTTGGGTAAGGGCGTGAATTGTATTAGTTTGTAATAACACTTGACCTCAAAACAGTTAAGGCTAACTGTACCATAGGGCCTGGTTCTCAAACAATTGTTTCACCGATGCCAACTTGTAGTATATTGTGATTTGCATGTTTCAGGCGGACCCCAGCTTGTGGCGCACCATGTCGTTCGTTCAGGTGCGCGTGTCGGCGGCGCAGCTGGCCGGTATCGTGCGCCGTCAGCCGCACACGCTTGGCCTCGAGTGGTGCCAACTCGCCCGGCGGCAGCTCGCCTGGTACACTTGCCTTATCTGCTAGAGAAAAATACATATTAAAATTCTGTTTTTCTCATTTACTTTCTTAAAAGCATATTTTATAAGAGTAAATTGTAATGTTTTGGTACATTTTCAGGTTACTAGCTCGTCTGCCAACGCTACGTACGCTGTCGTTGGCGGGGTCGCCGGCGGAGGCGGCCCTGGCGCTGCGGTCACCGTCCTGCCCGCCGCTCACCACGCTCGATCTATCGTTCGCGCGCTGCCTGGACGACGCCAAGCTGCGTGGAGTGCTGGCCCCGCCGGAGACCTCAAGGCCGGGCGGCGGCGCACGAACCGGCGCCGAGCCCTCGCGCCTTGCCGCGCTCTCCGTACTGCGCCTGCCCGGCACCGATATCACTGACGTCGCTATGCGATACGTTGTACAAGTAAGATAAACAACATTCATTGTGACAACCATTAACAGTGCGGAATCTTATGTGTGATTTATCTTAGGCGTTACCGAAGCTGTGCGAGCTGGATGCCTCGTCGTGCGCGCGACTGACGGACGCGGGCGCGGCGCAACTGGCGCACCACGCGCTGCAGCGGCTCTCATTGGCAGGCTGCCGGCTTCTCACCGAGGCCGCGCTCGACCACCTCGCGCGCTGCCCCAACCTCGTGCGGTAAGTCACCACACGTAACCTCCGGTAGCCGGTACCAAATTTTGTTGCGAGTCTGCAATGATACGCGACTCAGAATCGTTTGTCCCCTGTAAACCTACAACACTTTTATGTTACTGTAAAAAGGACCAGAAGTAAACACCATTAAAATATATATTTCCTTTGTACAGATTGGATCTCCGACACGTGCCGCTGGTGTCGACGCAAGCGGTGATCAAGTTCGCGGCCAACTCCAAGCACAACTTGCACGTGCAGGATGTGAAGCTGGTAGAGCTGAGGAAAACCTGATGCGAGACTGCGCCCGAGCCGGCGCCCCAACCCGAGTCCGAGGCAACGCCCGAGGCCGGGACTGAAGAAGCCGCGCTCGAGGCCCCCGCCCAGGCAGCTCCTGAGGCCCCGATGGTCCCTGAGGTCCAGGCGGCCCCTGAGACCCAGCCCGAGTCCGCGCCCGACGCAGCGACCACTGAATGACTTGATGTGGAACCTTGTGATGTGTAGTGTAGTGTGACAGTGTGTGTTGGTGGCATACGATTGTGTGATTATTGTGTGACTTACCATTCTCATTCTCTTCCACAATAGTTCTAGTCTCGCTCAGTTTACTTTAGGTAACTGACAATAATTTTTTTTAATGGTATTGTGTTATTATTTTTTATGTTGGTACCCTTTTCGGTTTGAAAAGGCTCGATGAACAATCAGGGTATTAAATATAATTAAAATTTCAACAATTTATTATGAGGCTTGTTTGTTCTGTACCATAAATTTCATGTTTTACACAACATATCAAAATTACTCGCTATGCTATCAACATACAAATGTAGATATTAAAGAAAAAGACTTAAAATAAGCCTAATGTGTAATATTGTTGAAGTGATACAGTTTAAACAAAAAAAATATATTAGATAATACAGCTCTCGATTGTAAGAGCTAGACATTTTTAGTATTTAAGATTTAAATGTGGATTGTGTAGACAATTCAGCTATTATATTAAACCAAATATTGTTCACTAATATGTGGTCTCAGAACATGTGACATAGATTAATTTTGATAGGGAATTACTAAATTGGTACATTGTTTGTACAGGCATCTTTATGAGTTTCCACTGAAGAAAACATGTACAAATCATTTTGTCATCCCTCACTATATCTTTGAAAAAACAGAGATGACAATATGACATTCTACATAGATTTCAAAAGTGGAAATGTAAAGGATAATGTAGCAGAAATAGTCTTTTTCTAATAAACACTTTGGTCTTTACATAAAGTTCATCATATTATTTGACAGGAATTTAATAAAGTTTTAAAATACTAAAAACCACAGGACTTTAATTCAAGTAGCTTAGAGAAATAACTAAAAGGAAAATATTACTCTTTAATAAAATAAAAAAAACTTGAAATGGATAAACACACCGGATTTCGAAAAATGTAAAAAAACATAACAAAATTATTCAGGTTTAGTGCTAAATTTGCCGACCATGACAAGATAGTACAACAAGGATTGTAACACTTTGTTATGACCAGAGCTAGAGAGCTATTTAGTTTGGCTTATGCACCCAGCGGGGCTAGACAAAGTTCCTTCGATTTGAACACTTCCATAAAGAATTTCAAAAATGTTTGGAACTGACACGCGACAGTCACGTGACTTATCGAAAGTTATTGTCAGTTCTATACAACTTTGAAGTTTCTTATGGAATGGCTTCATAGCGAATGAATTTTGTCCAGCCTCCCAGGGTCTGATAACTTCGTCGCTTTATGTTTAAATGTCAGTTTTGACAATTTAATTGAATTGTAAAGCCTTAAACATGTGATATGTTATATCATGGAATGTTTAATTCTAGTTAGATATGTGATAATCGTCCTAATTGCGATATCTCAATATATCGTAGGAAATTCTTTATAATATAGCACGAGACAAAATGTATTGATCAGATATTTCCCTTAATACATTTGGTTTAAATCAAAAGACATATAGATATTTTTTTATAAGAGAAGGTGGCAAACGAAACAAGCACTGAGGTAATCAACGATACTCATGGATATCTGCAACACTAGAGGAACTGCAGATGTGTTGCCGGTCTTTGATGAAATGTTATTAATATAAAATTGTTAATAATTTAATTAAGACTAGCAACACTGTAGTCTCCTTGGTGTTGTCATGTCTATGACCGTCGATGACCTTTGTGTTCCAGCCAGTGTTTACTCTTGTCTTATGAAAAAAATAAGTTTGAGTTGTAATTTTTCTTTTTCTTTAGTTCACTATTAATCTCTCATGCTATACTTAAAGAAATATCATTAATGTATGTAAATATGTTTATTTAAAAGTAATTATTTTAAGAATAAAAAACTGATTAATTTGTGAATGTAGTTTTGCCTCACTAAATCTACACTTAGAGATAACTCAGTGTAGTTTAAGTAATGTTTCTGCCTTATGTAGAACAAAATTATTCTATCCTTTTTTTTATAAGTTCTGTGGTTGAATTGTACGAAACCCGAGTGTTTGTTGACCTAATACATAATTGTATGATTTCCAACTAATATTTTTGTGTGCTTTTGTTCATATTATGTTCAAAAAGATTTATTTCAACCAAAATTTGAACCATGAATACCATCTGTGTATTTTTTTTGAAACAATTTTGTTGGCATTTGAGTTGGCACGTTCAGAACTAGAGTACTTATGTGGACAACGTGCCAACTTAAATGTAGGCTTCCTTAGATATAATTTACGCCAAAAATTATTAGTTTTTAAATTAAGTACTTTAGTTTTAATCAAATGACAAGAATGTTTAATACAATTTTTATATTCAGTTTTTGTTTTGCACATTATTTTCTTCCGCACAATAGTTATTGAAAGTTAATAATTTTATTACATAATGTTGTATATAAATATATATTTTATTTGTTATTCTTAACACCATCAACACGATGGCTAGGCTCTTTAAATAAAATTATTTTATAATAAATTTATATGACATCAAAATTGAAGTATTTTGTTTTGTTATTATATAATGTATATTAAATTAATTTATGTTTTCTTTTTTCCTATCAATTGCTTTTTATTTAGTTTGATAATATATGAACAAATTTTTTAGTTGAGTTTCAATTTAATATAATATTTCATTTTTAATGAATTAAATCACATTTTGTATGCGACTAGAGAATAAATAACATAGAATGAGAATCCTTTGTTAGGAAAATTGTATCTTGCTGCTGCACTGAGTCGTTTAATGCTTTCTTAAGTTGCCCTAAGTGTAGATTTTACATATGACATTCTTAAATGAATAACTTCCTTAGTTATTTTTATACGACTCTGAATGCAGCAGTGAATATTATAGTAGATGTCAAAGTTCGAACGAATATTCACATTGCGTGAGCGAGACAGATGTATATCTGTACCTCACGTTTTGAGCTTACTCGTTGCCAACTTCACAAAACTAAAGATTCAACATGAATCTAATACAGTTTTTTTATTTCATGAAGTTGAAATAGTTACGTCTCACAGTTATCTAGGTATATAATAGTTAATTGAGGTATATAACTATTTATTCTATCGGATAAATATTGACTGTGGGACGTAACTTGACTAGTCTGAAGTTAAAGAGGCGGGTATGTCGCATTCTATTGAAGTCATATGTTATTGTGTACGCGTAGTAACAATCTGACTTTAATATGTTTGTAGGTTTGAGGGCCGCCTAGTAGTGTTAGGTTAAAGAAATTATTTACGTATTGTAAATAAGATTTGTATTTAAGTGCACGCAAGAATGAACGAAAGCCAGAGTAATAAAAAAAAATTAATAAGGCTCGATTTTTTTTATGTTTTCGATTGTTAGTCGCAGTTTTTGTAATGATTTTCCTGTTGAAATTCGATCATGATAAAGCTTCCCCATTCTTTTATAAACTTTATGTCAAATGTGAGAAATCCTAAGTTTTCCGTTTTCTTATTATATCAATTAAGGTTATTGAATTTATTTTCGCGGTTAATTTTAAAGTCTAAGAGATATGCCACACGATGCGTTAATACAACGCGCGGAGCAACGCAACTCAATATTTGTATACCATCAACTTGCGGGGTTAGAAAAAGTGCATTCGCTTCGAAGCGATTCCATAGCGAACTTCAAAACGGACGCGCGACAATCACGTGACTTAAGTTGTTGTCAGTTCTTAAATTTTTGACGTTCGTTACGGAATCGCTTCGTAGCGAATGCATTTTGTCTAACCCCCCCAGATTTTTATTTTCTAATCTTCGTCTTCTGCCGTGCGTTACATTACTGCATTAATTTTTACCACACTGTCCAACAAAATTATATATGTATATAGTCCGTGTGGCATCTCTCTAATAATGTGAAACTTGATATTGTGGCTTTTAAAGTATTTCGAAGTAAGCGTCGTGCCTGTGTATAGTTGATTAATTAAAAAAAAAGATTTATAATTAGTAGCAAGCCTTTATGAGGCGTGTGATTGACAAAATTTATTCTTTAGTATATAATATAGATATTATATAGTTTTGTAAGATGGCGTGTGTATAAGGATTTTTTGGAGAGTTTTGTATGGGATTGTTTGTGAACGTTCCCTTTCGACAGATGGTGATATTAAGAAATGATGTTAATGTAAAATACGCGATAAGAAACGCGATTGTATCATTGGTTACCATAAGCACTTAGAGTATTTGAAATAAATATTTACATTGAAAACATCTATTTCTTGTTTTCTTTTTGTGTATTGACCTCAAAATTATATAATAACATTGGTACAAATCCATGTACATTACATCTATGTACTATTTTTTAATGTTTGAAGATTTTTTTATTTAATTTCGACCTATCAATTTTATACTGTATCTTTTAATCTGTATACTTTTACGTTTACTGTGGTCAGCACGAAATGTCATGTACATCCAACTACAGCAACTGGCTAACTTTTAAACCTGGTATATTAATAATTAGATTCTGTTAATTGTTCTGAAACGAACAATTAACAGTTTTATAAAAGCACCATCTTTGATTGTTTTACGACATTACCAAGGCCCGTAATATTTAACCAAAGTGTTTAATCGAAATATAGATGGCGTTACATGACTAGAAATTATTTCGTTTGGTATGATTTTTAACTTTATTCAATTCAATGAAAACTTAAAAAATGTGAAGTACGTCTACTTAATAAAAATTATAACTATGTGTAATATGTGTAATAACACAGTGCTGTTAATTAGTTATTTATTATATAAAGATCCAACTCCAAGCAATCATCTTGAAGTATATAGTAAATAATGTAGATACAGTCGAACCAGGATAAGAAAAAATCCAAGGGGCCGCGATATTGTCTCGCTTATGGATATTCAAATGTATAATACTTATAAAAAAGTTTTCTACACCGAGTAAAAAAGTTGTATAATTATAATTTTCTTGTCATTTACCGTATTCGTACCAAAATATTATTCCCAACGTAGGTTGCAGAATTTTGTACCTAGAACAAAAATAAATACGTATTTAAAACAAATTAAAGTAAAAAAAAATAAAACAAATTTAATTTCACAATGTCTGTTGTTAAAAGCAGATATGAAAGTCTGCAAATGATATAGAAAGAACACACAAAGCGATCTCTTAAAAGTTCAATTATTTATAAATACATAAACCTTAATAACTTTGGTAGGTATTTCTATTTCAGCAAGTCCCCTCGTGAGAAGCAAGAGGCGTCCAGATTAGTCGAGAATCCAATTACATTTAAGAAATATCCCATTTTTTCCTCAGCTCGGGTTCAAAGCTCACGGAAAATTATTTTCTTCGCCCCTTAAGAAATGAAAAATAAACGTGTCTTTGTTGCGAGCGACATTGGGAGAGATGGGAAAACGATAAGTGCAAGCGAAAGGTAGAATATAGCAAACATTGTTGTTGTGACAGAGACGGACGATAACCTCTTGAAGGCTGCCTTGCGGGGATTTGTCGAACGAGTCAAAATAGTACGATGTTTTTTCTCTTCTAGACACAAGAGACTTTGGTTCTGACACCGTAACTATATGTATGGGGTGGTTAACTTTTGTCTATGATATAAAATGACCAAGTTTAATGTTATTAAATGCTGGTTTATTTATAGCATAAAACCATAGTGTTGTTATCTCCGTTTTTTCATAGACAATAATAAAGTCAAAGCAATAAAATTAACAAATACCACGTGTACAAATACTACATGAATAAGTTTTCCCTCCCCACAGAATGTTATCACCACATTTTCTATTTGACTAGTTCTGTCCCCTTGTCTCGGCCGCAAACGTCGCTGTAATGTGAAACAAATATATTTGCTCTCATTTATATTCTATTGCTTTTGGGGATTCGATTGCCTTGATGCTATTAATTACGCTAACATCTGTCCACTTGTATTGATCAGTCACACTCAGGGTTACTTGATTGTAACAATCCTTCACTAAAGGGCTGTTTAAGTAATTAAACAGCCCTTTAGTGAAGGTTTCTATATTAAGCTGTCGCTCGCGACTCCGTCCGCGTGAATATATAAAAAAAACTTCATTAGTGTAGCCCACCCATCCATCCATCCACATCACATCCATCTAAACATTCGCATTTATAATATTAGTAAGTTAAATAAAGAGCAGCTCTTCAAGGCATAAATAACAAAAAGAATAAATAATCCTATGTCCGTCTCCTGACTCTAAGCTGCCTCCTCACCAATTTTCAGCCATATCGGTAAAGCCGTTCTTGAGTTATAAATAGTGTAAATAACACGACTTTCTTTTATATATAATAAGATCAAAGGGATTCCTTTCAAGGGAATCATTTTCTTCAAGTGAACGTAACGTAAGTCATCGTAGACGTAATGAATGCCTTGATCTTAACTTCGATATAAAATATATTCAGCTCAAATGACTAAGCTTAAGGCCTTTCAAGATTTCTAAATCTAACAGTAGCCTGCCTGAGCTGAGGGTAGATATTGATCGTGTTGTAGCTGCACGCGACCTGCTAACCGCTGATTCTCGCGTACCCGATGACAACTGACGTATGTCTAGCAGCTGACTGAGGTACACTCGTCTACAAAATTACAAAGAAGGGCTATTTTAATGTTATTCCTATTTGTTTCTTATTTATTCCGAAATGAATGAGTGAAGCAAGGTACATCACCGTCTTTAAAGTTAGGTATCAAGGTTTCTTCCTTTAGGTTAACCCAAACTTTAAACGGCTTAAAAACGGCTATAATAACACTTACGTATATTCGTCGAGCGACGGGCCGCGTCCGCTAAATAATACCAGTCCCACTCACCCTGATGAAGGCCCCCAATGGGCTCGAAATTAGTCGGTGCCGCCACCGGATGAATATACGTGAGTGTTTTTGCCGTTTTTATATAAGTTTACGTTAACCCAAATTCAGATCTTGTTACTTCAGTGACTGAAAGCATTACGATTAACTTGTATTAAGTTTAATCATTTTGATTATATTAACAACCATCAAAGTCAAATTCCCAAATATGCCTATCAATTTTCGGATTTGACATAAACTTCGTTTTGAGGACTTAATTGTTTCGGTACAAATATAATCTTCAAATTCACTCTGTATTTCAGTTCCAGTTCGTTCAGGTGAACTACATATAGTAGGTACAATATCTTGAATGTTATAATTATAATAATATGTACATTTTAACTTTTGTCGGCGAGTGTACATCAAAGCTCGGTACATTGATTGGCGTGCACGCGACGTGGCCGCCGTCGCACGCAGCCCGCCGCCGCACACACCACTTCTGATGCCTACTGATCTACTCATTTTCTTCTTCAAGGAATACCCGTAGCTCTCGACCATTGTAAAAGTAAAAGACATAATTTTATCACATATTATTAAGTATTCTATTTGAACCTTTTTGGTAGTAGTATATCTTATTTTTTCAAAGATTATATAATTGTGTTTCGAATGTGGAAAGT